TCCACTATCATCAACATCTAGTAACTTAGTTGTATTCTCTTCCAAAATAATAAAACGACGACTTTTACTTATTTTTATAACTAATTCCATTTATTACGGGAAGAGTACAACAGACAAGTAGTAACAGCAAGTATTACGTACGAAAATGAAATGATTATCATTAGGTTATAATGTTATTACTTGAAATTTCTGTTATTTTGTTATCTTTATCATATTTCATAATATATTTATGTTTACTTTTATGATAATAACCCAAAATTTATAGATAGATCTAGAGTACAAATAGCGACTACAAATAAATATCAATATTGGTTATTATCGTAAATTCATAAATAATTAACAAGTACGAAAAAGTTGGTACATGATAATGATTGGCACGCCGATGTGCCATAAACTTTAAAAAGCTAAAACAACTTGGGAATTTTACCAATATTTAAAAAATTTACACTAAATTATAAAGTAATTCTTGGAGAGTAAGTATATTGAAGAAATATTACGCGTGTTGATTTACCTCCAATTAATTATAAATATTAGTATTCGTAATCATGCGAAAATTGACTTTTTAAACTAGTAAATAAATGGTAGTAAATAAAATAATAACAGTTATTCGTATATTTAACTCTATCTGTACCCTTTATAAAGTATACTTTAAAACTGTGAAAAAAAAATTAAGTGATTAGTTTTTTTGTAAAAAGTAAAATTGTACATAATTTATATGTGTGTTTATCGTTTTCAAAGGGTTAGTAAAAAATTTTAAAATTATATTTCATTAAATAAATCGAAGTTATTTAATTTTGAACAATTTGAGTTAAGTTTTTCGAATAATACATACCTTGAAGTGATTTTTATCCTCTTTCAACATCGAGTAATAATTTATCGTAATAATTTTTGAAATTATATATTATTAATATATATGACATTTTAATTTTATGTTCTACTCGTCAAAACTAAAGTAAATTATTTGTTTGAGTATGGTAAGATTATGAATTAATAAAAAAAAATATCGAAGCAACAAATCAATTTTTAAAAATATTATTGAATTAAACCAATCTTTTAAATTTTAAATTATTGAATATTGGCAATCGATTTTTATGTACAGAACTCCTTTAAGATATTAAGTTAAAATATACTTTTAAAAAGTAAAAACTTATGAATTATAATAAGTTAGAAAAAGTCATGTCAAAGTTACAGTAATTTTTAATTGTCCTATTACAAAATAACCTAGGTTATTTTTAATGTTTATAAATATACTTCAAATTAATTTTATTTTTATTTTTATTTCTAACCTACTGATGTATTAAAAACTTAATATATTTAATAACGTACGTATACATTTTATAAATTATAATTTATAATTATATTTAGTAAAATATTAAATACGTATTACATGTATATGGTGTGGGTTGTACTCCGATCCTGTATTCTGCAGTATGAATTATTTCTATTTATAACTATAGTTGAAAGACGTTATCTGTTTCATTAGTACTTCACTATAAATCGCTTAACGTGTATTACGACTTTTTACTAACGTACAAATGGTACAGTAAATGAACTAGAATATATTGTTCATTTTAATGTGTTCTAAATATAATGAATGTATTGAGCAACCAATTACAAAGCATCAATACTATACTGGGAACATCAGTAAGTAATGTTAAATGAGTTATTTCAACCAGGGACCAGAACCGTAACTGAAAATAACCGGTACTGGAACCGGTTAACCTTTATAATTTAAAAATCGGAACTGAAACCGGAACCTTTATTTCTAAAAATAAAAGGGTTAATTTAGGTTAGTTATTTAGACTAGTTAAACTATGGTAATGACTATTTTGTTTGTCCATTTGTCGGTTCAAAAAAATATAAGTCAAATCTTTTTATTTTTTGTGATATAAACTGTAATAGTGTAAAGCATATAATAAGTAAATTTGTAATATTATTATTATAATTATTGTTTTTGTATGTTTAATAATATATTACAATTTACAATGAATATATCATCTATCTTGTTTATTAAGTATTAAATATAATTAATGTTTATACAAATTTGTAGCTAAAACAATAGCCACTATTAACTTTGATTCCTAATTAAAATTAAATTTTAAATTATAGATATTTATTTCATCAAATCATAATATTTCACATTATTACAAAATATTTTACAAATTCTTACTGTGAGTTGGAATAAAATAACTTAATCTAATGCAAAGAAATATAATAGGCTGATATAATATATATATATTTAATATATTTATAATTATTTTTTTTAACTATTCATAATACCTTCTATTTTCATGAAATGAAACAATTACAATTTAAACAAGAACAAATAAATAATTTCATATTATTTTTTAATAAATTTCTAATAATCAAAATTAATCGAAATTAACCGGTTCTAGAACCCTTACTCTTTTACAAAACCGAAACCGTAACCGGAACCCTTAAAAAATTAATTGAACAACCAAATTCAAAACCGAAACCGAAAAAACTTATAGTTTCCAGTCCCCGTTTCAACATTTAAAAATTTTATATTGATAAATCATCTGCTAATTTGTTGAAAAAAATGTATCTCCAAATTTCAGCTACAAGTATATATTTTATACACGAAAATAAATAAATAATAAAACAATTTACTTTGTCGATATTTTATTTAAATTCAAAACGTAAACTGAATCAGTTAATTAAATTAAATCAGTTTTTTTTTCCAATCCGATGGTTTAAAACTCCAATCTTCCATTCTGACCAATTACTTACCTTTTCTTTAAGTTCTTTAAAGGTTTTGACTTTTGCATCACATTTAATTTTTTTTAAATCAGTACGTTTTATGTACCAGCTTTGGCAACACTCTTTAAAAATGAAACATCAAATCAACGTTTTGAAATTGAAGTATACTGAAGAACAACTTACATTTAGAAAAACGGTTTTCTAGTAATACTTTAGTATCTGTAATATCTACTTAAGACATTTTCTAAATGTTGATTTTAACAATGATAAAATATTTATCAAACATTATGAGGTAATCTATAATTGAATACATAAAAAAATTAGTAACTTAACAAAATTATTTTTTCATTATACGTTTTATATAGGATACTTTATTATAAAATATGTATTTATAGTTTGAAAGCATAAATAATAGCCATAAAAAATTGTTTACTAGCAAATTACTACTTTGAAAATTTGAAAATGAATATAAATAAAAAAGTAGATCAAAATCTACACAAAGTTACTCAAGTATCCATTACAGAACATATTGCTTTTGCAACATGTGATAGGTCATTTTCAATTTTGATTTTCAGTTTAAAAATAGACTAAGAACAAGTATGGGACAATATAACTTTTTCAAATCTATTTACAATGAGTATTGAAAAAATTGCCTTAATAATTTGAAAATTAATTTTATGTAAAAAAGTGGATAAAATAAAAATAAAAATGTATATACATATAATAATTAATATTGAATTATTTTTGAAATAATTAAATTGGTGTATTGATCGTTTGGGGACAAAACCCTCACGGTTCACTTAAGTATAAAAAATAAAATAAAAAGAATTTTAGTCCTGCCAAAAATGTTACTCTTCCATGGTAATAAATTATCACTGATAACATATTATTGTACGAGCAAATATTTAATATAAATACATCGATACACAAATAAAATCGAATGTCATCGTTTTTATTCAAATTTATAAAAAACTATATAAGTATATGTAAAGTATAATATAATGATTCGATGTTATCATTTTGCAATAAATTTATTATTTGGAATGGAGAACTGCTGAAAAAAATATTACTGTCAATAAATTGCACCATCTTTATTTTCATAATAATAAATTCTTGTTGAAAACTTATTGAAATCAAAATTGAAATATAACATGTGATTTATAGTTGTATTTTTTGTTATAAATAATAAATGACTAATAATCGTTGTATTTTTAAGAATGTCACGTATTATAAAAATAGCTTTTAATTATCTCGTCCAAGGTTGACTTTTTGTCTTTTTTCGCAAACATTAGCAACAATAATCATTGATATTATTTATACAACTTGACATAGATATTCATTTCTTGGATAAACATATTTTGGGCAATTATATATTTAGATAATTTTTATTTATTTCATATGCACTACGCAATGATGAAAACAGCATAAATATTATAGAGTTGACCTATATTATATATTTGTACGCAGTAAAACTTAAAACAACAGACTGGAAAACCTTGTACAGAACAGATTTATTTATATTTTATACTATAAACTTGGTCTCTGTCCATTATTTCTGGTGTCCAATTAAATACTTTTTAATAAAAAAACAAAATCATGGCCAAACTTGACGGGTGGTTTAAGAGTAGCTTTGCCTATGGAAAAAATATTTTTATTTGGTAAACAACAAAATAGTGTAAAAATAACGAGATTGTTAGCATTTTTGAACGTTAACTTTGTAAAAAAAATAGGCTACAGTAAACGCAGATTTTTAAAAATATAATTCATACAAAATATCAGTGTATTATGCACTATAGTAACTTATGGCAGTTTTTGTAAGCTATACAATTAATTTATAGTAAGAGATTTTTTAAAAAAAAATTAATGTTTGCTATTAAAATATATTTTATTTTTTTTAAATATTTTTCAATACGAACAGTACGAACAAATCACGCACCCGCAATATTATGTAACTCGTAACATTGTAACAATACAGCATACGATTGTGCGGTTATAAATAAGTTTATGCTGATATTATTGATCGATCACTGTCATTGCCAATTGTTAAATTTAAAACGTTATGTAGGTACTCTCGATCGTTTCCTCGGTCTTTGTCATGACGTTAATTTTTATTCGCGTTAGAAAACAACCGCTCGCTAACGGGCTGTTACACATTCTGTTCTAATAATAAATCCCTGTTACAGGCGTCATGCTACGGCCGATTAGTCAGAGCTAGTGGACGCCGAGTGCACACCACTCGACTACCATAATATATCCCCCTCCCGCAACGGGTTTATATATACATATATACATTAATATATATAACTCTATTTTATTTAAAGCATTTTAGTGTCTACAGAGCTTTAGCATCAGACATTAACCACCATCGCGGCTCGACAGTTTATCCCGCATCACACGATCTCCTCAGTCAAGAAGCCTTTTCCGAGCAGTCAAGTACCTCACGTTTCAACGAAGCACAAACATGGTCTATTCATCAGACTTCTACACTTCCCGTAGACCGGCGTACTACAAACCGGGCAGTTCTTACTCAGTCACCGTAAGTGTTTAATTTTTTTTCATTTTTATCCACGGTACCTACCACTGTTTACCGTACCTATACGTATCAATAACGGAACATGAATTTGCTATCGATACGAACTGCAATTATGGTTTTTTAACAACCTGTTCAACCGTCTGCAGTGCCGTCACAAGTGCTCTCTACATACAATTCAGTCGAATCGTATGTCAATCGAAAAGGGTTCTCGTGGAGAAATCCCGTTTTATATTTTTTATTTTTATTTTTTTCAAACAGCAAACAGTTGTATTTGCAACAAAATAACCGCAATGATTCGTATACTGTCGCTCACGTATATTATATTATACATGTAAATATTGTATCAAGAAAAAAATAAAATACATTCGCACGTGCACAGGATGTGGAGGTCCTCGTAGAAACCTTATGACGGCACTGAATAAAACTTTCATTCACATGATATACTCCTGTTTATGATAATAGAAGACCATATTATTTATATCATACTGAATTTTTTATATTAATATGTGTACAGCCAATGTCCTAGTCGTTTTAAATTCTTTGCGAGGGGGGTAAAATATTGAATAGCCGCATTGAAGATAAAAATCAATGACTTTTGTACTGTTAATGTTGCGGGGAATTATATTGCCATTGGCTGCGTGTTCCGAAATTGGAGTATCGGGAGGTATAATGTTAATGAAAGTTTTGACCCATAAAAGTGTTTTTGTTCGACAACGATGACGACTATATCGTATTCTAAGTCCAGTTAAATGATTACGCGTTGAAACATTATCTATGTTATAATCGATAAATGGCTATTACCAACACCACACCATATAATATAATATTATTATCACAATACTTTCAATTTTTTTTTCAATCATACTTAATTTTTAGTATATTTTTAAACATACGATGTTTGTAGTTCATGGAATGTTCTTGAATGTTTCACTTATGCGTACCGATATTTGGCTACTTGACCATTTCTGGGGCTCCGTATTTATTAATAACACAAACATCAAGTCTAAATTTAAATTTGTAAATTCTTTGAGACTTTCACTTCATGCGATAATATTATCGAATAATATTAGAGATATATTATCCGACAAGTCGATTATTAAAATGTATGACTGAATTAAATAATACTTCTCTTGATTACTTCTAAACAATTTTAATGATATCAATCACGCACATCTGTTTAAAATTTCGAAAACAATGGCAATGCAATTAACCGTTCAGCTGCAGGATTAAAATGGTTTTTAAACTTTTTTTTTTCATTTTTAGTATTTCAGTATTTCTGCCTTCACATTTTTATTTTAATTTATTAACTAAAAATCATTTTTCAATCATTTTTATTATTTTAAACAATCATAAGTATAATTTCGGTTATTCGGTTATACAAATACATATACGTATGCAACTACTTAGACAGTTGTGTATAATCTTATTAATTCTACTATACATAAAATTGGCAACTATTCCAATTTGTTCACATATACATTACACAAATGTACAAATAAATAATTTAAATTTAAGTGCAATCAAAGAAAAACATGTGTTGCGAATTATTTTTAAGAAAATATTTTAGTATGTGCATCCATCAATCAACGGTTACTGATTAAAATGTATACAATTAAGGCCTTGCTAGTGTTAATATACCCATGTAATTTATAAAATTATAATACACACACGCCTTTTAACAGTCTCCAGAAATAAACAACTCCAGCATAACGTTTTACATTTAGGCGAAAGATACTTATCAATATGTGTGTGTGCGTGTGTGCGTGCGTGCATGTATGTATGTGTGTGTGTGTGTATGTGTGTATGTATGTGTGTTATAGCAAGAACACCACCACCAAGAACACGGGAAACCCAAACCGGCCGCTTTTACCAGAAACGCAGCCCGTGTCCCGTGGCACAAGGTCCCAAATGTTCCCCGTCCCAGTCAGGTCGCGTTGCCTTTCCTAGTGTACGGCCGAAGAGGCGATATTAACGAAATGAAACGGGAGTTCCTCGGAGCCGGAAGCGAAACGGACGTGGAAACGGAAACCAAAGAGCTGATAAAATCTGCATTGGCCCGCCGACACTTACATGAAGTAGAAACCATACCTTCAAAGAACCGGCTGAACCGTTACCACGTGGACACGGAAGGACACGAAGGACACACGCGTAGAAGGATTCTCTTCAGCTCGTTGCCGCCGACGTATTACCGCTATTGAAACCGAAACGGCAATAATTACACACGCGCCGCTGACGAGATATTAATATTCGCACATTTTTATCGATATTTAAGAACATTAACATTTTTTTTATATCCGTACTCGATATTAGACATAGAATAATATATTTATGGTTTACAATGTATACTATTACACGATTATGAACTCATAAATGTATTATTATAATTATTGGTAGACGGTGTTGGTAATATAAGACAATTAACTAGAAAAGAAAAAGAAAAAAATGTTATGACAAATTAGCAGTCAGTTGGTTTATTAGTAATGTGGTTGGAATCGATATTATAATGTATTAATAGTTAATAGTATATAATACATTGTACGTTATACTTTTATGTATAATGTACAAATCTTTTACCCAAACGAGCCATTTTACATTCTCTTTCCGTTCATAAATCTTTCTTGTTTTTCAATTCGTCACATTGTCATCACCGCGAACCGTTCGGAACACTATTAGATATAATAATCAAAAAAAAAAAAAAAAACCAAAAAAATAACAGTATAAAGAAATGCGTGCGCGTTGTGTTTTATATGTACATAGACGCCCAGCAGATACTCTGTGACCTCGTCGTACAGCATACCGGCGCCGGTTGAAACCAGAAGACAATACGAATACCACACTGAACAACGCGTCGAATCCTCAGGACGTCCGGGCTCGAGCTACACCACCGAGAAGGTGACCCGCACTAGTTCCTCATCGGATGGTCGTCCCGGAGGTTATCATTCGTCTTATTCTTCCACCACATCTGGTCGCTTGCCCGGAGGCACTCCAACCTACCGTCACTACTCTTACCGCGTCTAATCAATTGACCGGAAGTCAAATATCCAAAAATACATAATGTATAATATTGTCATTGTTTTACCTGCTCTCAAACGTACATGATTATACCTTAATTATTTGCATGTACACAGATACACACACACACACACACACACACACACACAACACACACACACGCACGCATACACGTACACACACACGCACACACACACGCGCGCACACACACACACACACACACATGCACACGCATACACACACATATGGACACGGACACGGACATATGAATAAATTAAGATCCTTGTATAACAATATTTTACACAATACGCACGCACGCATTTTTAATAATAAATTATTATATATCAAATTAATCACTTATTACTCGCTCATATATAGAATCTAATATAGTTTAACTATTTATTATATATAATATCCATATTATCTATAACATATAACATAATATTCGTTACAATCACTACTACTACTACTACTACTACTACTACTACTATTACTATTATTACTTTTACTACCACTATTACTACTGCTATAACCACTAAAATATTACATATTTATTTTTAAAGATATATTATATTATTTATTTCGATACTGTCGTTATCGTTGTTGTTATTGTTAAAAATAAATATAATTTATTGTAAAAAAAAACATCTCGTTCTGTATTGATAATAACATTTCACTTTCATCTTTTTTCCTACAAATGAACATTATTTATACTTGATTGCAGCCACTGTACTCGTCCGATGGCTATGATTTGCCACCTACTTATTACAAGGTAATTATAAATCCTTACAAATGGTAAACGTTTCAGTTTATTAAAATCATACTTTTTATTAATATATGATGTAACGTAATCAATAATTTTGTATAGGTTTTATTTATTATATCTAACAACATATGTATAATATCCAACATATTGATAATGAATATTCAAGAGAAAGTTACTTCAAATAATTTATTTTGATTATATTTTTTTAATTTAGAAAATGGCAGTTCTAAAATAACACATTTTTCTACACATTAATAACAATCCACATTATAAAATTCACATTATATTTCAGTATTGATATTTTAATATATATATTCTAATATTTTTTGGGGAGTTGGTAAATTAGGTCCCGGGAAAAAAAAGGTAGTAGATTAAGTCCAAGGTAAACAATTTTTTTTAAATATCTAATAATTTTTATTAGAAGTCAATTTTAATATTATTGTGTTTTATTATTAGTATATTTATTACATTTTCGGTAAAAACTTAAAAGATACGAATTTAACAAACTCAAACCGACGTACAGTACGAAATTCACGCTACGAAAAATATAGTGAAAATGCTCATATTCCGTATACTCGTGTCTGTGTGTAATCATAAGAACTATCATCAATATTGGTGTTAACTGATGACTGACACACGATATTCGACAAACTAATCTATGTATATGCTTATATACGTATCTTAATTAAACATAATCAAAGCTACGACGTTACGAAGTTATTTGATCACAATGGAATCAATAACCGATAGAAACAGTGTGAATTGTCATTTGTAAAACGACTACGGCGAAGTAGTATAGTTAATAGTTAGGACTCAATTTACCTACTACCTTTTTTTTCCTGGGACCCAACTTACCTAATATCTTTTTTTTTCCCGGGACTCAATTTACCGCATTCAAAATGTACACAAAATATGGACCCAATTTACTTAGCTCCATTTTTTGATTCATTTATTATGCCATAACATTAGTACATCTTAGTAATCACTTTCATTTCATGTAGTAATAAAAATTTAAATCTTCTATAGTAAAAATGTTCCTATAATTCGCCAAACATTATGATTCATAAATACATATTAGTAATTAAGTATTCGTGATGAAATAATATAAACCATTGAAAATTAGACAATTTTTAAATATTAAACTAAAACTTAATTTTGAAGTCATTAAAATGTTTTCCAAAATTATAATTATTACATTATTAAAATGTAATTTAAAACATAATTTCAATCATTAGAGAGTAAATATGTTTTTAGATTATTATATTATATTAAAGGAAGATTCTTTTTAGTGATTGATCATTGATACATAAATAATCTACATTTCCAATTCTTTTACTTCTAAAATATATCAAAATCTTTTTTATATTAAAATTTTTATTATTTTAAAGAATCAAGTCTTCTAAACTAAACTGAATTATTTTATTGAATATTCTTAATTTGAAAGATTTTTTTTATACTTAAGTATTTTATAATTATTTATTATATATATTTTCTATCATAACCATAATTAGTCAACATACTGAATTAACATCAATAAATTTGTAGTCCATTGACCAGTTTTTTTTGAGTTAATACGGTAATAGGACTTGAAAAAAAATAGTTTTAGCTAATGAAAATATCGTTTTTAATAAAAAAATTTTAAATGTGTGGAAAAATAAGGATTAATATTAGAAATAAAAAAATTTAGATGGGTAGATTAAACTAATCATGAATAGTTAGAGAGTCTTATTAATGAGTAAGTAATATAAGGTCTTTAATTTTATTACAAAAATAGAACTTTCATAATTTATATTTATATAGGTTCTAATTCAGTTCTAGTCTCCGATTCAGTCAAATTGTTCATTTATATATTTTACATTTCATAAAATGCGTATCAATTTATTATTATTTTTTATTATTTATTTATAAATTTAACCTATATTTTATAGTTACTTTTGAATCTCAAATTAAATAATATTCATGGTAAAATAATGGCTTTTTTGAAATATTTACAGGTCGAAGTATTTTGAATTGAGGTGCAATTTTTCCATTCACTATCCATTTATGATAATTAACTTACTTAAAATGTTTTCATTTTATAAATAGTTAATATTAATTGCATTTCCGGAAAAAAATTAACCTTTCTTTATTAAAAATTAAAATTAACCGCTATCTTGCATCTATAGTATTAATATATACATACATAATAAATCAATATTATAATCAGGCGCATCAAGTTTATCAGACGTGTACTACACCTACGCCATTTATTCTGACACCTTCATTATCAACCGGAAAACCATCTCCAAATGTTTTACCATATAATGGTTATCCTTATACGCACCATCAGTACGTACCATTACATAGAAGATCCGGAGCTACAATTCATGGTGTTTTAGATAGGATAGAACATCGTCCAAGATCTCATCCATCATATGATCCTACTGACGAGTATCTGAACTCAAGAAGTTCTACTGTGAGAATCATTCAAATTTATTGAAAGTTTTAAGATTTAATTTATTATTAAAAATTATACTTTGATTTTTAGACCTTTAATGATGTTACGAGGGATATTAGGGCGCAAACTGCTGGATTGCTTAAACAGGTTTACACTCCTACGATAAGACCCAAATTATCCTCAGTATCTAATGGATATAGTGAATTACCTATATCACAACGGATAGAATCTGATGCTTATATTGAAAAAATTCTTGCTGACTCAGATTCATATCGTCGTGATAACAACATTGGTAAACAATTATTATTATTTTAAATAATAAGAGTATAATATAAATATATAAATAAATGAACAAATTGTTTATATATAAATAAATATAAATAAATAAATAGATAAATGTTTAGTCTGGAATATAATTATATTTTTTTAAAGTACGATCAGTTTCGTATTAAAAATTCATCGATCAAGTCAATAAGATTATGACTCTAACTCTAATTTTAATATGATTTTACTGACTTTGTATATAGGTACCTGGACGATGAATTTTTAATTCAAAACCGCTCGTACTTTATAAATATATATAATAAAACTCCAGGCTAAGCATTTATTTTTTAAATTTTTTTCTATTTATAAACTATTTATTTATTTATATATTTATTTACCAGTCTTAACCATTTACTAAATTTTAATTTAATTGTTTAATATTTTATAATGTATAGTATTAATTATTATTATTTATATTAAGGTAAGGGACATTTGGCTTGTGTATCATACGCTGGAGGAAAAGCATATCCAAGAAGAAGACCACATTTGTCAAAAGAAGTTGATGACAACATAACTATGTTATCTTATTACAATAAAACAAGAGAAGCTGCAGCAGCATCTTCATCACACCCAACGAATAAAAATAAACTGAATAAAAATGAGCCAGCCCAAACAGTTATTAGTAAAAATTTAGAATCCGAAAACGAATCAGCCGAATTAGTTCGATTATCTGCGGCAAAAAAAGCAGCAGAAAAGGAAGCAGCTCTAGCAGCTAAAAAAATAGCAGATGAACTAGCTGCCAAAGAAGAATCAAAAGAAGTAGCTAAATTGGCCGCCAAAAAGGAAGCAGATGAAGCGGCCAAAAAGTCTGCTGCTGAAAATGAAGCAGCTAGATTAGAAGCTGAAAAGGAAGAAGCTAGGTTAGCAGCTGAAGAGGAAGCTGCTAGGATAGCAGCTGAAGAGGAGGCTGCTAAGAAAATAGCTGAAGAGGAGGCTGCTAGGATAGCAGCTGAAGAGGAAGCAACTAGGTTAGCAGCTGAAGAGGAAGCAGCTAAGTTAGAAGCTGAAGAGGAAGCAACTAGGTTAGCAACTGAAGAGAAATCAGCTGGATTAGAAGTTGAAGAAGAAGAAGAAGAAGAAGAAGAAGTAAAAAATACTAGAACTGAAGAAACTCAATTGAAAATAAAAAAAGAAGTCGAAGAAACTGAAAATAACTTACAAGAAGATAGTGAAATTACAAGTAAGAATAAAGTTGAAGAATCTGAACAGCAAATAGATTCAATTGAA